CACCTTAAATATTTTCGTTTTTATTAAATAAATGTTAGAAATATCCATTTAGATCTCGATTTTATTTTATTATAGTGGCTTTTAAAGTCAACAATATTGCACTTAAATAAGTTGATTCAGGAAAAGTATCAAATTTTGGCAACCATAAAATAGTAAACAATATTATAGTCAGCTCATAATTAAAACACATTCTAATGGCATACAGACTTTTTCAGCATATTAATGGGTGTAAATCCATTAAAAGTCCATTTTAGGGATAAATTAAACCTTTATCAATTCTGAACTTTGGGGATTGCATGAAAAATTGAAAATGTTGTTTACTGAATTGAGGGAAAAGTCTGTTATTAAATCCTTCCTTCTTCTTTTCCTCTCTTCTTCAATACCTTTTCCTCTATCTCTACTCCTTCTCCTTTAGTTCTAAATTGTTTTTGTTTTATTTTGTATTATACAATAGTTCAAACGTACCATAGTTCAAACGGCAGTAGTTCAAATGCGGATCCACCTTCTCCACCCACCACAGCGGTGGCCCAAGCTAATCTCAACTTTTCTCAAGTAGCAGCACTCGGCCCCTGGCCCTAGCCTGTTTGTAACCTGATCTAACACCTTAAATATATATTGATTAAATTTATAATTTTTTTGGGAAAAATACTTAAAACTTCTAATATCGAGTCGAGGTAATTTAAAAAAAGGAAAAATTAATTCAATTTAACGAATTGAACAAATATTTGTCCAAGGGGATTACAGTCCTTTCGAACATTATTCCAAACTAGCACGTCGTCCAATCGATCATTAGTCCAATTGATGTGACACCAAATGAAGATTATAAAAAAGTCGTCTTGAATTTGAATTGTCCTTAAAAAAATAATACTTTTTTCTTTTACTTTTAAAAATAATATTCAGTTTAAAATAAATAAAACCGAAACGAAAAATTTCTTTATATGATTTACTTATCCAATATTTTCTTTTAAAGAAAACTTTCTTTCACTTGACACTGGGGGCGAGAACAAAAATCAGCTGATTTTCAAAATAATTACAGACAAGACAGTACAGCTGTGCAGTGTGTATTCATTTGTTAATTTACCCACGATATATAGAATTCTTTAGCTAAACTTGACTTCGCAATTAATTCAGTGGCAAAAGAAACAAACTTCATATTGTCAGTATCTAAAAAGCGTTTGCAAGAGGAGGACGAATTCTTTTAATGACTGACGATAGCATAAATCTAGGCGTGTCGCCTATATAAATAGTTAAAAAAGTAGACGTCGTGTCGCCAGGTTAGCATATGTTTCATCACAAGGCGGGTCGCCATAAATATTTGACTAAATTATGTAGGCGTGTCGCCATTTATTTAATTAGGCGAGTTGCCATCTTAGTTACAACAAACAGACGTGTCATCATAAATCACCGATGATGCCATAATTTTTAATCAAATAAGTAGCCAAATTTGACTTCGCAATCAATTCAGTGGAAAAAGAAACAAACTTTTCGTCAATGTCTTAAAAGCGTTTGCAAGAGGAGGACGGAATTTCTTAGCTGTTTTCATGTAATTAGTAAAAGTTGAAGTTGACTGCTGGATACAAGCGTTTATTGATAATTTTACACAGTTTTCGCGTAGTTTTCAGAGGGATTTGATTCAATGAAATTTAGGCAATGCACTAAATTAATAGAACTAGAGAAATCAACGAAGGTTAGGACTTCATGACGACCTGAAAAAATATAGATTTGTTATGACTGCACCAACCTTACAATAATGAACGGCAGGTTTTTATTGTTTGTTATTGTCCTTAATTAAATAAATTTCTTGTTAAAATCAGGAATTCATTTCTGGGGTCAAAAAAATATTAGAGCATTCTGACCGGCGCGCTAGTAGTCGGCAATTTCATTTTGGGTTATCTTAGCACAGATTTTACATGTTGCAGGAGGCTGATTTTTTTGCATGCGAGCTTAAAATCATGTATATTACATGCATTTTTTGGTTTTAAACGCCTCTGAGGNGGGTGGGGTCCAAAAATCGTTCTCTAGGAAATTACAAGTTATTCAATGCAGTATACTATAACTGTTAGGGCTGTCCTAGAGAACGCGGATTGGACGCTATTTGTCCATTGTATATTACAAAATCTTATTTAAAATCAACATTATTAACCTATAGAGATGGTTCCCAATATTCATGATTTAAGGGGGATTATAAAGGGATTAAATCCCTTGTTTAATTGTTTTTTTTTTTGTTCTATTTATCTTATTTTTTCAGATATGCCATAAGTGAGAAATCAGTAAAAAATCTTTTAATTGCTCCGTTCTATAAAATGTTGAATTTATTATTTTTGTTTCTAATCCTGGATACTGGTCATATCCTTGCACAAGATGAATCAGTGGAGGAGCCTACCCATAATGATGTCAGGTAAGGAATCTACCCATAATGATGTCAGGTAAGGAATCTACCCATAATGATGTCAGGTAAGGAATCTACTCATAATGATTTGAAAGTCTATTTGGGATTTAATGAATTTGATCCAGGTAAAGAGCCGGTTCAACCACATATCTCAGGGGTTTATATTTTTCTGCTTCCCCCCCCCCCNAAAACATTTAGAAAATAATTAGATTTGTATATCAAAACTAAAAAATTTATTTTAAACTTTTAATACACTTTATTTTACTTCACAAAGATTTTTTGTCTTTTTTAAAACATGTCTATTTTTTATGAATGTCAGGGACAATTTATTTTTCTCAGAAATGTACAGTGCACCCCAAAATAAAATGGTCAGTGAAGACAACTTCTAGTAAATTTACAACGTGCTTGCCAAAGAAAAATGTTAAATGTCGAAGTCAACTTTTCAAATATTTTGTGCTCCTCAAAACGAAATGGTAAATGAAGACAACTTCTTAAAAAAAATACAGAGCTCCGTAAAATAAAATGGTAAATGAAGACAGCTTCTCATAAATATACAATGCTCCACAAAATAAAATGGTGAAATGTCGTCTTAATTTTACCCTTTATTCTTGGAACCACTGCATTCTCTCGTACAAAATGTCGTCCTCATTTTCCACTTTATTCTTGCATTCCTTCGTCCTTAATGTCGTCTTCATTTTCCACTAGTCTGAAACAAAAAACGTGTTTATTTTTCACTTTATTCCTGGAAACCACTGCTTTCACTGCAAAATGTCGTCTTCATTTTCCACTTTATTTATAGAACTACTACATTTTTGCTAAAATGTCGTCTTCATTTAACACATTCTTACGTTCGTTGAAAGGAAGCGTCCTAGCTGACTTTTTTTTAGTTTCTAATGTCGTATTCATTCCTGAGACACATTATTCTAATGAATCATAACATGCTCTAAAATGAATTGTTATGCTCTAAAATGAATCGTAATATGCTCTAAAATGAATTGTTATGCTCTAAAATGAATTGTTATGCTCTAAAATGAATCATAATATGCTCTAAAATGAATTGTTATGCTCTAAAATGAATCGTAATATGCTCTAAAATGAATTGTTATGCTCTAAACTGAATTGTTATTGCTCTAAAATGAATTGTTATGCTCTAAAATTAATCATAATATGCTCTAAAATGAATTTTTATGCTCTAAAATGAATCGTAATATGCTCTAAAATGAAATGTTATGCTCTAAAATGCTAGAAAACAGGCGCCGTATTCTTAAGTTAGGCTTGATAGTAGTGTTAAGAAGAATTAAATGGAAATAAAAAAAGTAGCAACATCAAACTGATATCATTATTAAAATTTTCTTATTTATTTTTTATAAAAGATTTATTCACACACATTTAATATACATACATATATTACATATTAAATATTACATATATTAATTGTATTGTTTAAATTTGTTTTGTTAGGAATGATATTAGATGTATTCATTATTCACTCTCATAATCTCCAATTTTATAAACTTCTTTTTTAAAGAAAACTATAGTCAGACTTTTGATAATTAACTTTTTTCAGGAATAAATATATTTATTTTGTCACTGATATGCTGAAGAAGGCATGTGAAGCAAAGAATTAGTATTTCTCTCGAAGTATCTCAAATTCTCAAAACGAAGAGAGAAATTTTCTGTTTCACCCATTTCAGATTTTCAATTTGATTTCGGGTAATTTTCTAATATACGATTTTTGGACCTCCCCCCCTTCCCCCCTCCTATAAGTTTGGGGTCCGTCCTTGTATAAGAATTTTGGACCTATCCTATCCTATCAATTTTGTGCATGCATAAAACTTATTTTTCAGCAAAATTATTATATTTTATTTTTTTAGGGCTAGGTTAGGTTAAGACAATTTCTGGGCTGAGCGCTGCGGCCAGGACAGACTAGGGGGGGCCGAGCGCTGCGGCCAGGGCAAGCTGTATGGCCGAGCCATATCGCTCGGGTGGATTCTCATTTGAACTACTGCCGTTTGAACTATCGTACGTTTGAACTATTGTTCGTTTGAACTATTGTTCATTTGAACTACTGACATGACGTCATATCCTGTAGTTTAAATCAACGCATTTCTTGCTCATTTGAACTATTTTTCTACCCCAATTCAGTTTTAAAATTTTTTTTATAATCTCCATTAAGTTATATTCATGACAATTAATTAGATAAACATTACACAGAATGAACATAAAAATAGTTCAAATGAACATAAAAATAGTTCAAATGAACATAAAAATAGTTCAAATGAACATAAAAATAGTTCAAATGAACATAAAAATAGTTCAAATGAACATAAAAATAGTTCAAATGAACATAAAAATAGTTCAAATGAACATAAAAATAGTTCAAATGAACATAAAAATAGTTCAAATGAACATAAAAATAGTTCAAATGAACATAAAAATAGTTCAAATGAACATAAAAATAGTTCAAATGAACATAAAAATAGTTCAAATGAACATAAAAATAGTTCAAATGAACATAAAAATAGTTCAAATGAACATAAAAATAGTTCAAATGAACATAAAAATAGTTCAAATGAACATAAAAATAGTTCAAATGAACATAAAAATAGTTCAAATGAACATAAAAATAGTTCAAATGAACATAAAAATAGTTCAAATGAACATAAAAATAGTTCAAATGAACATAAAAATAGTTCAAATGAACATAAAAATAGTTCAAATGAACATAAAAATAGTTCAAATGAACATAAAAATAGTTCAAATGAACATAAAAATAGTTCAAATGAACATAAAAATAGTTCAAATGAACATAAAAATAGTTCAAATGAACATAAAAATAGTTCAAATGAACATAAAAATAGTTCAAATGAACATAAAAATAGTTCAAATGAACATAAAAATAGTTCAAATGAACATAAAAATAGTTCAAATGAACATAAAAATAGTTCAAATGAACATAAAAATAGTTCAAATGAACATAAAAATAGTTCAAATGAACATAAAAATAGTTCAAATGAACATAAAAATAGTTCAAATGAACATAAAAATAGTTCAAATGAACATAAAAATAGTTCAAATGAACATAAAAATAGTTCAAATGAAAANCTGACGAGGGTCAACCCAGACCGAAATATATTTTCAATAAATGTGGAACTAACATCTACTTTTTTTACTCTACAGAGGTTTGTCCATCACCATCACCGAATTTTAGTTTATTAGTTACACTGCAGTACTTAAACACTTCTCTTTATCTTCTAATACTTCATCTTCAAATTCACATTATTGGACCTTTATATCCTTTAAATCCTTTAAACCCTTTAAATCCTTTAAATCCTTTAAATCCTTTAAACTCTTTAAATCCTTTAAATCCTTTAAATCCTTTAAATCCTTTAAATGCTTTTTATTCAGGTGTAAGTGTGTTTGTCCCAACCTGTCTGTACTGAATGCTACACATACTGTACAACGAAAGCTGTACATAAAGAATGTACCGCCAGGGTAAGTGGTTTTTTTATTAAGGAATTTGGGTTTCCCGGTAGTATTTTCAACTGTGAGAAATAATAATTTGATCCAGGGGTTTAGTTTTCAACGAGGTTGGGGGAGGGGGTTTAGTTTTCAACGAG